ACAATTATTCATCCGTAATAAACGTTGATTAACCCATGATCGCTGCTTTCTACAGTACTGCCGAGTATGTACTTTTAGTAACTCACATCCTTCCTCAAATAGTTTTTGACCTCTTAAACTTCTTCTTTCTTCTTCATTCAGCCGGAGGTATTCTTGAAATTCTTTTAGCGCGATAGATTGATTAATACCGTGTGTGGGTAACACCGACGAATACTAAACTATTATAAAAAGTTGTTGATAGAAAAGAAACAGTATTAAAGCCTGGGACTAAAAAGTAATCGTACCTTGTCATAAAATTTCTCTATTTCTTCGCGTAGACCTCTTTTTACCATTGTATCCACTCTGGCTTCAAGCCGTTTATTGAGTATTTCCTTTTCAGCGTCTAAGAAGAATACTAATGTAAACGGAAACCGTAAAGTACCACCTAAACTAGAATTCGACTTTAGCAACTGCTTGGCCAAATGGTCGCTTTTAGTAACTCCAGTAGCCTCATATATCTCAATCGCTCGTTTGACACGGAATCGGTTATTTTTATGAACCTGGATCACACACATCACATAACCACAACAGATTACAGTTTTATCAAAACAGCAAATAATTTCATAAATAAAGTAAATCAATCAATGTAACCTGTTCTGCAAAAGCGCTGTCAATTTTCTTCAAATACTCATATAGCTCGTCATCTGACAAATTGTCGAGCTGTTTGTTACCTGTGCAAATTAAGGTCACAAAACACACAGGCATCAATTTGCAAATTTTCAAGAAAAGACCAATTCACAAAAAAAAACATCAACTTACTGTAGCCTTTATCTGTTGGAATTAAATAATTTTCATATATGACAGACTCTACGTAATACGATGTTCCACCGACAAGGATTGGTAATTTATTATCATCCCAGAGATTTTTTATAATTTTCAGGACTTCCTCACGAAACCTAAAACAAACTGTCATTTTAACACAGACGAAGACTTTCAACGACTTATTTACTTGCTACAAAAATGCTACAATATATAGGTGATATAAGTGATGCAGGACAATTCAAACCTGAAAACAGTGAAATTTGAACATGACGGTTCTAAAAAACTAAGCATATGATGTCGCACATTACCCATCTCCTTCTCAGTTATCTTATTCGTAGCAATATCAAGACCTGGAAACAAACCCCCTAATAACAATAATTTCAACAATAAGAAAGCCAGAATCTTTGAAAGTTCAGTCGCAGTTAAGGACCAAGTATTACCTAGAAAAAATAAAAGATTCTAAATACCACTCACCATTATATAACTGCATCGAATCTGCATTTATAACTTCCCCATTAAAATTCTCCGCAATAGAAACTGCAAGGTCACTCTTCCCTGTCCCAGTACATCCGAGCACAACAACCAAACGATTCGTCATATCACCACACAGCTTGACTGCAATGCTTCCAAAACATCGAGCTTGCAGAGTAAAGGCTTTGGTGAAAACGGAAATGCAGCAACGCATCGCACCATAGAAGAAATACCTCACCAGCTTGGCCACTGCTCGCTTGGAGCTTTCCAGTACAAATTGCTGCTTTACGATGTCAGGTTCTGTCCTTTTTAAGTTCCTATCCAAAGAAACTCCCCCCAACTGTCCTGTTTCCAAAGAATAATTACCCGGCTCTGAAACATTTGAATTAGTTGACGCTCAAAAGAACCCCCACGTGGCAACTTAGCAAATCTCATTGTTTGCCGGGAGAAGGAATTTGCAAGTTCAGTGACTGGAAAACAAACAGCAAAAGTATTTACTTTTAAGAAAGGTAGTGCGAGTTCACTACACTACACTGCTCAAGCTTATTCATATGAACATCTTTGCATCTTCCACTTTCCAACGGGTGCAAACAATATATTTAGACATACTAAAGGCCTTGACTAGACATAACATATCACTCATACATAAAAATAAAATCAAATATTTCTAGCTGCAAATATACAACAACAGGAAACATGATTACAAATTACGGTCAAAGTTGTGGTTAATTCTTTATTTTCTGTTATATATACCTAACAGTTCTATAACCCGAACAAAAATTATGCAAAACCACATAATTTACAAACGGCAAAAATCAATATTACAGTAAGGAGCAGAAGTCTCCTTAATTGATACGCTCCCTAAAATAGCCAACAGGATAACTTATATCGATTTACCATCTAAAAGGCAAAAGATGGTACAGTTAAGCTGTTTGTAGAAAACCAGAAAATCAGAAGATAAAAGTCAATAACGCGCAGGTGGGTGAGCATAGCTTTATTAGGAAAAATAACTGCCCAAAGAACCAAAACTCTGCAAAATTTTTTCTACAACTACCACATTGAAGATTAACTTCGACTGTTGTAAAATTGACTTATATATACACCAGATGTTTTACGTTAACGTTATGTGAAACTAAATCCTTTTAAAAGTTACAGACTTCTTGTCTGCACTCACTGCCAACATCCATCGTAATATACAAGCCATGACAAGTAGAAGCTTATTATCGTGAGCTTGAACTGATCGCTCCATCAAAGAACAACTACATTCCGAACATCAAGACTCCGATTATTACGAATCCAAACTTGATAGCGATCTAAAATCTGACAAAATACAGCATTTCAAGGTGAAATTTAAAAAATACAAAATGCTAAAAAAACTTTAAATCAGAAATAAGGCTACAAAAACTGGTGTTCTAAAATTTACAACGCATAAATGTAATCTCACTCATATTACGTGCTGCTTATCAATGAAAGAGATTTAGTACTCTTTTCCTAAAAAATTACCAGTTAACAAAAAAAATCACCATGAAATTTAAGGATTTCAAGAACAAATGCTTTAGATGTAGAGGGATCACATAAGATTTCCCAAAACACTGATTCTTTGTCATCAGTTACATTAACACTGAAGTCCTGCAAAAGGTCACATAACTAAAAATGAAGTGGAGATGTTAGAAAGCGAAAAAACAAATGATTCCAAAAGTTCTTCAAAAAAGTGGCATGTTTAAAGAGAAAACAAAACAAACTATATCTTTCATCAGTTCTCCGTATAATATCGGCCCTCTTCTTTGCAAAAAATCATACAATACCCAAGCCTCTCGAGAAAAAACAAGAAATTCCATTTCTCTAAATAGTTCAATTTGTTTTTCGCATAAAATTGTAAATTTTTTTAGAAATTCACTTGTAATTCACAGCAAAATTCACACTAATCAAGAAAACTTTACTGGAAGGCAAATCAAAAGTAAAAAGTTTGCTTCCCTTGAAGACCAGCACCTTATTAACCTATATAACAGTTTAAGCAATCTGACAACAGCATTCCCCATAAAATTTAACACTGACCAGTGCATTTAACTTCTAAAAATGTTAACTTCCTATACAATAAGACTGAAACCAACTAACTCAAGCATACTTATTTTTAAATTTTCCACAAGTTATTCACTTTTTAAGGTACCTTCTATAAAATGCATAAAAGCACTAGCTATTGTGAGAAATGCGTTTTTTTCTGCTATATAGGAAATTAACTGTTACGCTGAGATGAAAAAAATAACTAAGGAATCAAGCCCAATCATTAGAAACCAAGAAATAGTACATTGAACGCCAAATTTTTTAAAGTTTTTAGACACATGCAGACTCAAAAGTCAGTGAACTCAGATAATGAGGTTAAAAAACAGCTGTTAAACAACGAGCGGAAAAACAAAAAGTGAATATCTAAACTTTTTTGCTTTTCAAAAAATACGTTTTTATGCCAGAATGAAAAAGGAGTGTGGTCACAAAAATCGTTAGCTATTTATCTAAAAAGAAACTGAGAAATTTTTTGATCCAATTTGCCGTCTTCAAAACCGGCGTCGCCAATTGCCTTGTGAAAAGCTGCCGATGACAGCTCATGCTTTAACACTGAAGAATATGTAGCGAAATAACAGGTTTCAAAACATAAACAAGAAAAATAACCTGACAACAGGATGGAGCATGAACAGATCCTGCTTTGAGACTACAATATTGATGTCATAAAGGTCACAAATGTTATATATATCGAATCCTTCAAGATTTTGTTTCGCAAATATCTGTAAGTGGTTCTTCAAATGTCTTTATGCGCATTAGATGAAGCATTGTATAATTTTAGAAAAATTACAATGTACCTCGAATTCATCCGCTGTAAAATACTTGTCCTCACGGAGAACTTGCGTCTCAAATTCCTTCAACAGAACAATCAGACGAGGGAAATTTTCAATTTTTGAGTCCCACTGTTCACGTTCTTTTGAGCTATTTGCTAGAGGAAATTTTCTAAATAATTCTTTAATAAACGACTTCACAGAAGCAAAATCAGAAAATAAAATCTTGAAGACAAATAGAAGTACATAATTTCTTCGTCAACAGATGTGAACACGGGGAGGAACTCATCGGCAAGCCCATTGTAAGCGTCTGAACCGTTCTAAACAACTTTTTTAAAATAAATTACTAGAAAAGTATGGCAGATTTCTAGCCCTGAACTTCATAACTACTCAATTATACTGTTTCGAAAACACTATAGAAGAAGCTTGTAATACTTAAATAAATAGTTTTGGGAATTTTTTAACCGTATTATTGAATATTTTGGTTCGAGGAATTTCTTTCACGGGATTACAAGCAGCCCCGGAGCTGCAAAGCAGAACTGACACGGATTCTTCGCCCAGCAGTGAATTAGGCTGACCAGCTCTAGTTTCAGTTTCCAAGGAAACATTGCCTGGATTTACGGGGTAACGATTCGCTAAAAAGAATTGTACAGATTTTAACAACAGCCATAATGAAACTTTAAGAATTTAACTTAACTTACACAATGCATCAGAACTGCCGAAACCACCGAAGTTCTCCTTCTCAGGTGAAGTAATAGACCCTTGTGATTTTTCTAAAGAATCGTAACCTAAAATTAGAAGCAACACGGTAAAAACAACAGTCCTTAAAGTTCTTACTCTAAAGAAAAAAGACTCAAAAACTTAACTACTACAAAAGAAAAATAAAAGAAAACAATTTTATATTTCTTCCTAATTAAACATTACTAGATGCTGGTTTTGAAGTCACTTGATAGCACGCCACTGCATTGTCACTAGTACTACATTCAGCGGAATCATAAGAATGCTCATCTTCGTGCAATTCCTGCAAAAATCACTTATTTCCTTCAACTTTAACAGATATAAACAGATATAAATTAAAAAAAAAAAA